AGAAGTAAGAAATCGATTAGCCGTAAAACCAAATTGTACTCTCCCGTTTATGTATGCTTAAAATGTCAAATTTATAAAAATATAATTTATTTATGTTTAGGGCAAAGGTTTAGACAAGATACAGATACAAAGATGCTTCAAAGTGTATAACTGCAATTACGATCACTATCCCACTGCAAGCCTAAAAGAGTTACTGCAATCGTTACATATTGTTTCCAATGACTATGATTCGCTATTTGAGTTCGAGCACTTCCGTGAGTGCAAATTTATATAATTGTAAAATAAATTATGTTAAATAAGTTTTTATAAAAAATGATAAACAATGTTTTACATGTTTAATAATCTGTTAGAAACCGCCGCTAATGAGTTAAAAGAGCTCTTAGTCCTTTGGTCGGAATATAATAAAGACGTCGACGCAAATGTAATGTAAAACTATTGAATTTGTCGTTTTTAATAACATTTACATTATTAATTCCGATGATTAAAAATGTATATTGATGATTTCGCAGTTGCCGTTATTTACTAGTACACAAGTTCGGGAACACATTGACAACTTTACTTTGTACGATAAGGACAATAATGGTATTCTCGATTATTGGGAATTCGAACCGGTCGGCAATCTTTACTTCCCCATATACAAACCAATAACCATTTTCAAGAGATATTCCGATCTCTACTGTAATTATTTAAAAATTAATATTTTTTCTAAACAATTATTTGACGAATGATTTAATAAGCCTTACAATGTTCTTGAACAATAACTGTTGTTATGGTTTGAACATAAAAAAACGTAATAAAATAAGTGTCAATCGATCGCAAGGACTCCAAAAATTTGGCAACGGAAGAAACCACGCCATTTATTATTTAAATTATTATTATATAACAAATATCTAACTGGGCCCGTGTTCTAATTAAGAGTATTGAAATATAATTATTTTGTTTAGTTACGCCTGAATGTCTGGAATTTGCACCTGTCATCAAACGTCGCAAGGCAGGAGCTGATGGAGATGACATTTTGAATAGTAAGAATCGTTTATGTTGATATAAATTATTAATGTTGTACAATAATTTAAAGGTAACATGTCTAATGTGGTACAAAAAAAATCTTGCTTCTAGAAACATATTCAATGAGCACTGCTATGTTCTTGAACATGAAATATTTTTTAATTTTTGGTAAAAAAAATAACATTAAAAAAGTGTCAACGAGTGTGGCAATGGAAGAAACAAATGAAATGCCAACAAATCTAACAAATGTCATGGCAAATCTAAATGTGACAACTGAAGAAACAAATTTACGGCGCAATCGTGGAAGTCGTCTTCCGTTTTTTGGATGTTGTGGGAATCCTTAAAGAAGTATTGCAAGAAAACTGAAATACTAAAGACGAAAATATTATTATTAATTTTCAATTTTGCTAAAATTTTTATTACTGTTCCATTTAAAATATTTTGTCAGAAACTTGTAGCTTGAATCGTTTTTTAAATATGGAAAACAAACAAATATATTTAATTGATTTAAGTATAGTTTTGCCATTTCTTGTGAAATTATCTAAATTACTAAAAAAATTGTTTTTTCAACTTTTTTTTTCTTATAAACTGCTTTATACTTTACCAGTGTTTTTTAGAATAAATGAATATTTTTCCAGGTAAAAGCTTTATCTGTTTTTTAACATTTTATTATTACTACGTTTGTTTGTATTTTAAGTATAATTATAAATGCTATATTTGTACAATTTAGGATACAGTATCTTTGCTTATGAGCTAATTGTACAAGTTAAAAGATATCAGATAAAATTCTTATCATATATAATTATCAAAAATTTATACGTCACGCGGTCGGACTATATTCAACAGACATTTAGAATGCTAAGAGTTATATATTTATATAAATTATAAATGTTTTACAATAATTTATAGACATCATGCCTAATTTGATATATACAAAAAAAAAACGGTTTCTAGACAAATGTTTATTGCTATGTTCTTGTACATGAAATATTATGTACGTTGTGAACAGAATCCAAACAAATAATCGTCAAGGTTTATAGACCTCCAACCTGTAGGACTAGTCTGAAACAATTAACTAAAGTAAGTTCTGACCTCGGAGGCCAGGTTTGCCTTACCCACAATATTTATTAGTTCGACCTTTAACTTTTATTTGCTATAACTTAGCAATAATTGGAGTGAACGACTCTTGATACAATAACAATTTAAAAATGAGATTTCAGCAGAAATCCTACGATGATTGTTATTTAAATGGTATGAAATATTATAGAGATTAGATGTTTTAAGAGCCATCTTTACACAATAATATGTAATGCAAGGTTATTTATTAAAGAAGTAAAAAAAAGGAGTTTGTTTATGTTAACTAAATACATTTATAATCTGTAACACTTGCCTGTATAATAATATAATTTTGAAGGAGTGGCTAAGAGGATTTTAAAATGATGGATGTGTCTTATGCTACCCTAACTTTTTTTAAATTATACTATTACTCTAATATGTATTGTGATAAAGTATATTTCTACGTATCATGATTATGGTCCAGTGACGTTCTCGAAGTAGCAGCTTTGTAGATTAAATTGATCTATTACATACTTAGATCTTATAAAGAAAAACACACTCGCATCTACTTTAAGTCAGTCGTCTTTTTAGATATCGAATTTGATAATACAAGCTATATACCTGGATATGAAGTCAAATTCAGTACATAATATATATTATGTATATGTAATTTACCTTGATTAAACAATCATTCATATATTAATATTTAATACCTTAGTTAACGGATATCCTCGTCACATCAATTTTAATTTTATGTCGAGGACTACACGCAACTTGTCAATAAACAATTCATTCAGGCCTTAGTCCCACAAATAGCTTTTAGTTACAAGAACTCTTCATCACTCCACTCCGAGAAGACCGCATGAATAAGCTTGTTATAGACACTTTACTATAATTACTTAACTAATATAAATTATCCGACAGTATGCAGTGTGCTCGAACTGAATGACTCGTATTGGACTATTTAAAATGAACCGAGATCCAATTATTCTAATTATCCAACAGCATTAGCATACTCTCAATATAATTATTGAAGCCCAAAGGCTGCAGTTTAAAGCTTCCTTGTGTGATGTATCTAGATAGCTCTTATCGGACAGTTTGAAATAGAAAAACGAGAATTTTTGATATAGTTTAAAACAATAATTAAAGACAAATTTGTTTGTGTTGACGAAATAAGTACATATACGCTGCGTTGAATTTTAACAAGAAAAAGAATCAGTAACCATAAACGCTTGCATAAATAATATTGAATTCATACAATCTTATAATATAGTTGATATAAATATATTACACCTGCATCTCACAATCTAGGTTCACCTATTTTCTTTTTATATTAGTCGTTTTATAACCATTAACAAAATACTATTTGATTTATTTAGATGTGATGAATTATATGACCTTGCCACCCACTGACGGCACTTTTACTCGGGTTTTGAATCTTACTGCAGAGGAACGGGAAGCGCCAATTTTTATACAAATAAAGACTAAAACAAAGAGTGTCTACCGAACCGATTTAAATTGTTTTGGTTTTATTATAAATATGTTATCTTCTCTATTTGGGCTAAATAACCAAATTTGTATTTCTTATTTCAAAATTGTATTGTAAACGTTTATATTTTTACTTTTTTATGGTATTTTCTAAAATCTAACTAATTTTCTGATAACCAAATCAAAAATAGATCTTTATCGGTCCCCATGGATAAAATAGTAAGGTGTAATAATCCCAATACTATTGTTTGTTATTAGTAGTCTTATTATTATTACCATGTAGATGTTATAATACTTTTAATTGTTTGTAGCCTCGCGTGTTGGCCAATAGCCCAATCACGCGTTATTATTATTGAGTTTTAATAAGACTAACCATTGTTTAGTTTTATATAAAAAGGCACTAGTTATTAATTAAGCTAGACACCGCAGTACTTAATTAGTATACTCAGTGATCTAATTGATGCTTTGTGTCACTATTATAAGTATTGTCTTGAATTATTATTGTGTTTATAAGTGTTAGTTAAACATTACTATAAACTTGATTATTCTCTGTCTGAATTACCTTTCATATCTTCTAAGTCTTATAAGTGCGCTGCTTAAATCTCTTTGTGCAATACAAAGGCCATAACTCGGAGATAAAGTTTTATAGCTAGAAAAACTTATATACATATTATTTTACATTAAAATTAGTCGGCATACTTAAAATAATTACTAGATAAATTGTTGGTTTACCGTTCTCCTTAAGAGGAGCGAAGATCAGTAGAAGAGAGTATCCTGTATATTTGATAGTGAATGATTTTGTACAGGACTATTAGGATAATTTTATACGGAGTTGTGATGACGGGTGTAATGTTGGATGGCAACTTGGAATACATTTTTGATTTGTAGGTCGGAGTATAATGTTAAGTTAGATACATAAGTAAAAGCGTTTGTTGAAAAAATGTGTAATTTGTGTTGGGATACTTGTAGTTTATTTATGTTAGAGCGTTTCGCAGAGTCCTAGATTTGTACAGGTTTTCTTTTATTATATCATCATATTTTATTATTTGTTTAATTTGACCGTTTTTTTTTACAGAAATAATGGTCTGTTATTTTGAAATAATAATAGTCTTAATTCATCCTAAGCTAGAATAAGGTCATATGGCTGTTCATGTCAATTGCGATTTGGTCTATGTCCTAAAATTGAATTTCAAAACAAATAACGTTTTTATAAACATAAAAAATATACGCACCAGTAGTCGGTAACATTTACTATAGTTTTATCACATACTTAAGTAAATACAAAAAAAATAGCTTATTTTTTCGACGTTGTTATTGTCTTCAGTATCGAAAGTGGTTTCTTTGACACGTAAGAGAATTTATGTTGAATACTAAACTAAAATAAAACAAGATGTATTTCAAGATTTCTTTTCTCCTTTGCGCGTTATGCCTCTTTACGACAGTACGGGTAAGTAAAATACCGATAGTAGTTTAATAATAAAAAAAAACCTAATAAGCAATATAGTAAGTTTAATGTTTATTCTACAAAAACCCAACATTATTGAATTGGTTGGTATACGATGTTTTGCAGAGTATTGGACTAAGCGAGGGACAAATCAACTTATGCGTTCAATTGTCTGAGAAGTACAATAGAAGTAATAATGAAATTAACTTTTTCCGTCTATATTAAGTAAATTTAACTTACCATACATTACAATACACAAGATTATTCTATTTAGTCACAAATCATAGCACTGTGCACAGTAGTCCATAAAAAAAGAATAATTAGGCATAGGTACCAACGAAATTTAGTAATAATTTAACGGACTCAAAGGAAATTTTCCCCTTTTTTTTAGTGGTTTTTAGTAAAATTAACAATATGCCACAAAAACTATTCGAAACTTCGACTTGCAAACCTCATTAATATATTTCTCGAAGATATTAGATTCAAAATAAATACCCACATGACTGGTTGTGCTAAAACTTTGAAATTTCATTATTTAAGGAGATTTTTTATCAAGTCAAAAATGGTCATCATTTTATTTTACACCGTTAAAATAGTCAAGTGTTAAATATCAAGTGCCATTTCAACTCTTGTCGAGCACACACGTTCTATCGTGAGTTCTCGACAATTTTTATTTTTGTGCCCTTGTTTTGTGTACCTAGTAACAAACTTTTCTAAAAACGCGCGTGAGCGGACCGGTGTCGATCTTGAGTCGGTCCGCCCAATAATTTTTGAGTTATTTAAGTTTTTCTGCTCCACTACTACTATGTAAGGTAAGAACACGTGCTTTACGTAGTTTTATACTAATATACAAACGGTAAACGGCAACAGCCGTTTGCGCTAGGGCCTTAGCGGCCAATTTTTATTTAAATTATATACAGGTTGTGAACATTTTTAAAAATTCCTAAATTTTCGGTAAAAGTGCTGGCTTTTTCCAACGGTCAAATTCACTGACCCCGGATCAAGCCCAAACATTTAAACTTTGATCAGTGCGTTACATATCAAAAATTTACCCCTCCCTCCACCCACCCCCCTCATGAATTTTGAAAATTTTTGTCTATATACATCTTTGCGGGAAACAGCCCAATCGCGCCCGTTCAAACGCCAACCGTTTTGGTTTAGCCCACCGTTTTCGTCGCGCATCCTACCAACGAAATTTAGTGATAATTTAACGGGCACAAAGGAAATTAAACGACATCATTATCCTAACCTTAGATCCTAAATCATAATTCTCAAAAAAACCAACACATCATTTGACTTTTTATTGCAAAGTTATAACTAAATACCTAACCGATAAAATTTAATTTTTATAGTTTTCCGCTTTGTACTTAAAACCTGGAAAATAAGTGTACGAATGCCTTCCAAGATTAAGAAAATATATTTTATAGTTTTTTTTAGGGGTTTTTTTTTTTAATCGAGATAGGATTACTTATACTTTTAACTGAACTTTATTAATT